GGGGCGCCGAGGGGGATGGTGAGAGGGGGAAAGTTCGGTACACGGTGGGGACGACGAGTGTGGGGAGGGTAGGGGAGAGGATTCGGTTTACGGATGGGTGGGCGAGTGTTGATAGGGAGGAATTGGAAGGTGCTAGGAAGGAGACTTTGGCGGAGATGGTTAGGAGAGAGTCAGGGGGGTCGGTGGAGGGGATGGCAGAAAAAGAGAAGGTGGAAAAGGGGGCAGAGGAACCCGGGGCAGAAAATCCAGGGGCGATATACACAAAGATGGCGGAAGAAACGGAAGGTGGAAGAAAGGTGACGCCATTTCCGTTCCCGATGCTCCACGTGGGGACGGATATCGTGCAGATCTCGAGAATAGAGACGATTCTGAAGAACAAGACGGGCGGGAGGTTTCTCAGGAGGATATTGACGGAAGAGGAGGCGCTGTCGATGTGGATAGGCAAAGGGTTTGCAGCCGAAATGGGGGCGAAGGAGTGGGAGTCGTTTTGGAAGGAGCTGGAGAGGGAGAATAGTCAGAGAAGGATAGCCGGGAGGCGAGTTTCCAAGTTGAGAGGAGCTTTGAGGTTGTTGGACGAAGCTAACGGGAGTAGGTTTGCGGTGAAAGAAGCAGTCATCAAGGCGCATCCGAGCAGGAGCCTGACGTTCCACGATATCGTCGTGTTGAACGACCAGGAGAGAGACGGAGAGATAAGGCTGGGCAGCGGGCCGCCGAGAGCGTATGTGAAGGGCGAAGAGGGGAAGCCGGATCAGGAGGTCAGGGTGAGCATCAGTCATGATGGCGATTATGCTACGGCGGTTTGCATGGGAGTTGAGGACTTGGGGACTCGCTGGAGATTTCGACGGGGGCGTCTCGTGGCGACTACATCTGCATGAGCCATGGCATTTGACCATGCCCTTTGCGCCACAACCGAACTCTGATATCGAGGCATAAGTGCGCGATGTTAGCCATCTACATTCCTGGGGCCGGTAGCGTTGTGCGGCATCCCAAACTTGGGTTGTATTATATCTGTATGATATTATATAATCTGTATTATAATGTACAACCAAGCTTGCAAGTTTCTTTCCAGCAGGCTAGACCGCAAACAATCTGCCGCGTAGGCATTGTGTAAAAATAGGGGCGTCAACCATGGATCCCAATCTTCACTTTATGCGTAGGGGTAGGCGCCCGTCAATCGCGGGAACTTTGCGCAAATCTTCTACATAGCACAAAACGCTGCCACTGCGAACCTTGGCTCTGCTTCTTCATCGTGCACAGAAAGGAGGCGGCTCAAGTTGCCCCTGAGAATGCGAAAGTCCCCACCCAGCAACTGAGATGGGATGGCATGGCGCTGTAAGGACGCCGTAGTGGTCGCGCTGCAGTAGGCAATAGGCCCGGGAGGAACACTACAGATTGCCCGCCCGCATGTCGGCGACGATCTTAAGTAGCTTTTCGCTACCTATACCCCTGCCCAGGTGGAGTGGCCTAATGGTAAGGCGTGTCTCTCCTACAGTGGAGTGTCTACAAGACAAGATTGTGGGTTCGAGTCCCATCTTCATCGGAACATTTTTGGAGTTTTTTCCCCTTGCGCCAGGGACCAAAAAAAAAGCTGCATGAACCACCCCCCCCCCCCCCGAGTCCCCCGCGAACCTAATTTACCTGAGTCCACTGACCACACGCCTATAAGGGCAGGTGAGGCCAGAAGAGAGCTCGTCGCTGTCTTTTTGCGTTTCACTTTTTTGACGTTTGAACACCCATACGGCGGTATCGATTTGTTGCAACTTTTTTTCTTTTTTCGGGTTCTTCTACCGGAAACGCACCCCGCCCACCGGACATGGCGGCTGCAGACTCGCGACAGGCGAGCATCGCCGAGTACATGGCGGACCCAGCGCGCGCGAGGTTGGCCGAGAAATTGGTACGTCTCTTTCTCTCTCGTAACCGTTGTGGGGACTGCACACCGGCCCCCGGATATGTGGATGTGGATTGCTGACTACTGGCTGCAGACGGAAGCGTGGGAGTCGCTGGACGCACCAGAGGGCTTCTTTGAGAGTGCACGGCGGAGCTCCATGTACGAGTTCTCGGCGCCCGAGGGCGAGGTGCTGTACTGCAGGAACTGCCAGCAGGTTGAGTTCTTTGGGCCTGGCGACTCGTATCCGTGTTTGGTCATCAAAGGGAGTGGGCGCATCAGGGTGCCGCAGGGCGTTTCGGTGAGGATATTCGCGGGCAAGGACGGCGTTGCGAGGTGGACGTAGCCGTACCCTGGGGGCAAAGGGTTGGGTTTTACCGGGAGGTGAATGAGAGCATGCGATACCACCTGTCACCGTCATCCGTGACCAACATTGTGGTGCTGGCCAGGCTGTTGAGAGTGCAATGGCTCATCCCCTTGCTCCCTGTAGCGCATCAGAGATACCTCCTCATCCATGGCACGCCTCGCACCGCTCCCCAGCACCTATGTCACCATTCTTGAGACTCATTGTCTTCCTCGCATCGTTGTTGGCTGTAGCTCTCGGGAAGTAGGCACATGGGACGTCTTATCGAGGTGGACCCCACACGAGCCGGATTCCAGGGAGGAGCGACTTGGTCAGCGTACCATTGAGCTCGCTCAAGTTTTGCACGTGTGCCAGATTGTCACAGCAAACACAGCGTGGTTTATCCATTTTCATCCAGTGGGCATGATAAGGGGGGTCTGTTGTCAAAATATGTTGAGCTGCACGTTGATGGGGCTGAGAGCCTCGGTGGTGCTCCCGACATCGCATCCACTTTTCCCCTCGGGTGACTCAGTGACATAAACTCAACCTCGCTTGGCAACCTGCGACAGAAAGCATGTCAAAAGTATCACGCTGCGTCTAACCATTTCAGTAGAATTTGTTATTTATAAATTCTCATCATTCTTCTATCTTTTCCCGCCAAGGTCATTAACACCATCAATTCTCACATCGGCATCCCGTATCACAGCCGTCAACGTCTAGCACTCACCCACATCTCACCATGGCCTTTACGATGCACTCTCACTCCGGGCAATTCTGCCCCGGCCACGCAAAAGACGATCTCGAGACCATTATCCAACACGCCATCAGCATCGGCTACAAAACCATGGGCCTCACCGAGCACATGCCGCGCACCTCCATCGACGACCTCTACCCCGAAGAGGTACTCCCCTCTTTCCTTACCCCTTTTCACCCTCACAAAAAAAATAATAAAATAAAGAAATCCTGACAAACCCAGCTCCTCCCCACCCCCCAAGAAACCCTCAACTCCCTCTCCCCCCGCCACACCTCCTTCCTCTCCCACGCCGCCCACCTCCAATCCAAATGCTCCTCCCAAATCCACATCCTCATCGGCTTCGAATCCGAATGGCTCCGTCCCGCCGAGTACACCCCCCTAATCCACTCCCTCACCTCGGACCCGCGCGTCGACTACTTCATAGGCTCCCTCCACCACGTCTCCAGCATCCCCATCGACTACGACAAGGCCATGTACGCCTCCGCCATTACAGCCTGCGGCGAGACGGAGAGGGGACTCTGGAGTCGTTACTATGATGAGCAGTTTGAGATGGTCAAGGCATTGCAGCCGAAGATAGTAGGGCACTTTGATCTCATACGGTTGATGAGTGAGAACCCGGGGAGGGATGTAAAGAGGGAATGGCCCGAGGTGTGGGAGAAGATGGTTAGGAATCTGATGGAGGTGAGGAGGTATGGCGGGTGGTTGGAGTGCAATACTAGTGCGCTGAGGAAGGGGTTGGAGGAGCCGTATCCGGGGAGGGGGGTTGCGAAGGAGTGGGTGGGTATGGGGGGACGGTTTACGTTTTCGGATGATAGCCATGGGGTGGCGCAGGTTGCTACTTGTTATGCAAGGGGGTTGGAGTATTTGGAGGGGTTAGGGGTGAGTGAGGTTTGGACTTGGGAGAGGGTTGGGGGTGGGGAGGGGGTGAAGGCGGAGTTGAAGGAGAAAGGGGTGGGGATTGGGGAGTTTAGGGGGAGTTTGAGGTTGGATGGGGGGCATGTATAAATGGTGGTAGGAAGGGTCAAGGTGGGCATGGGAATGAAATGTTTACCGGGCTAGATCTGGATCTGAAGTAGACTTGAGGGCGATGTTGGTGAGTGTACTGCCACGCACACCCTAGACTTGGTTGCTAAATCGAATTGACTCTTGGAGTTCCTGTCAAGGCAACCGATATTGAATACTGCGAACCACACTGCCAAAGTCAACAAGTTCAATATGATAGAGAACGATTGGCCAATGTCAAGATCAGCAAACGATGTGAGGAAGGAAACCTCGCCCAACAATGCTTAATCCGCCCCTTCCCTCTCCTCACATCGCTGCCGAACCAACCATCTGCGCGACCACCCTCAGGAATCTGAACTTGCCACTTTGGCAGTGAAGGACGCAGAACCCATCCAGAGAAGCCAACAAATCCATCAAACCATCGAGACAAACCAAAAATAACCGGTATATATTATCCATCCTAACCTCAGCGTCATCTGTAGACCTCTGACCAAGTAAATGGTAGAAACTGACTCCCTTCCCCTGCTCCAAACCTCGGGTTATGACTTAAGACACGGTTTAGCAAACTTTGCTTGAGGAGCCTGGCCTGCCTTCATCGAGCCACAGCATAGAATACCATGGCACTTCAAGATCTATGTGCACCTTCAACAAGAAGCGTGGCAATCTCAGCCGCTACAAATTTAACCACCTGAAAGCCACGTTAGGAGATGTGGTCAAACCGAGCACATGTAGAAATCGCCGAGGTAAAAGCGGGCGAGTCCCAGAGAGTTGAACTTGTAACGGTCAAGGCCACCCCTTTGTGAGTAAAGTCGTGCAAATGGATCTTGAAGGACGATGGTATACCATTGACACAAAGAATTTGGTGAATCTAAATGGAAGAGTTTAGAACAGGAGGGGAGCACTGCTTTATACTCATCAGTGACGACTCGTTGTTCGCTTCCGTACGTCATGGTGACACTCCTATCCCGCTCGCTGGCGGAGATAGCTTCCGGTATCCTCCAAGCATTACAGTCAAAGGTCGGGTGGCCTAATGGTAAGGCGTGTCTCTCCTATAGTTGAGTGTCAACAAGACAAGATTGTGGGTTCGAGTCCCATCTCGATCGGCCGATTATTTTTTTCACTTCTCTTCAAAGTCACTAGCGCTGGTATGCCTGTTCCACTGCCTTATCATGTGATATCACTCATTCATAGCGTGATGGTTCATTTTTCTGGGGGTCCAAAGAGATAGATAGATACTGCCAGATTGATGCGTGATCATAACAACCCGGAGTTGCTGCTTCCCTCTTGCAGCAACGAGTCGTGCACAGAAAGGGGCGCTAACACTCACCTTCAGGGGCCAGATCATCAAAGCATGTCCTACCTTTAAAGGTGTTCTTTCACCCCCAAGACTTACCAGAGCACACGTGCCTAGGTGTCTCACAACTCAACAAAGGGACAGCCCCACGGCAGCCACAAACTCTCCTCGTCGCTTTCAGCACTTACCCCAAGAGTTCATCGACCCCTTACCCCTGACGGCCCCAGGAGGCTCCCAACCAACCACAGACACCCGTACCCCCTTCCTTCCCTCTTCAACCACAACAACGCCAGGAACTACCACATACGACCACAGGCGCTGGAAAATTCGGGATCCCGTTCGCTCTCCCATAGACAAGCCAGCGACCGCCAGACTAGTAGTTGGGTCGGTGACGACCAGCGAATCCCTGGTGTTGTATGTCTTTTTTTTGGCCCCTTTTTCCTTTTTTCCCCCTTTGGCTCCAGTCCTTTTCAAGACGAAGTCAACTCGACTCTATTTCGACTCCGTTTAGTGTGTCAAAGCTGGAAGGGGGGTCCATCCCGAGAACTTGGTGTTGGGACGAGCTGGTAGGTCTGATACCCAGCCTAGACATGATGTTGTTAAGGATTTGAGAAGACTGGTATATGATGTCTCTGCGAGGTTGAGACCTTTGACTGGTTTTGAGAAAACTGAGCGGTTGTAGCATTGTCTTTGAGAGTGAAGAGTCGGCCGGATACCCTCCTACTCCAGAGGGACTATGTAGGCGGAAGAAGTCCGTCTGTTTTCGTAGGAGGAATGGCTGTTCAAGTTGGAGCCCGAGATGGTCGATATCGCGAAAAGGGTGTCGCGTCTTGGATCCTATCTCAGAGGGACCAGATAGTGGGAAATTATTCGTCCTTCTTCTTCCCTGGAGACGGAAGGAGTGGTGGTTGGGTCCCGAGGTGGCCGGTATTTCCATCTCGAAAATGGACCGGCGGCTTCGACCCCAACATCCCATCTTCGCCAGTTGCCCGTCAATAGCCCTATCCTGTCTCTTCCCGAGTAGTTCCGTCGGTGTCGTGGTTCGGTCTTGTTGGTCACTGCCCATCCCAGCCCCTGATACCATCACTGACGAGTCCTCCCAATCCTCCGATCCAGGCCGCGGATAACACCCGGTGTCGATATCGTATCACCAAAGACCTTCATCAATATCCATCATCCACTGTCGTTGTTTGCTGTCCCATTTATGGCCATTGTTCCGCCATCACCGTCATCGTAGTCGTCCATCCCTTCAGTTGGGTACCGTCATATCGAACCGAACTGCCTCACAATGTCGTAGTCGCACAAACAAAACACCCACCAAAATCTCAAATCCAAATCCACAAAAGAAGAAGGCATCCCATTCTTATATCTATCTGCCTACCCACCACCACCCTCCATCACGGCATCACGGCTGAACTCCCATCCATCCCATCCCATCCGCCATCCCGCCTACACAAATCCTCGAACCCATCTTCACCACTGCGCAAAGTACCAAACGTAATCAACACCAGACACCCGCAGCCTCCGCCATCTTTAGCCAATTCCCCCATCCCTCCCCACCAGCGAGGCTGAGTCCCTGTTTTCAGTATAAAGCCACTTCAGCCTAGCCTCCCGATCATGTTTCCAAAATCTAGCCACCACCACAGCCGAATTTGGCTGTTTGTTTTTGCTTCGCGCCAGAATAGGAGGCCTGCGCAGACAAGATGATGATAGGCTGTGTCTAAGATGTGGCGAGGCTAAACGGGGAAAGGAACAAAACAAAACACATAACGCAGAGATGTGAGTGGGTATGCGTGTGGTTGGAAGCGGACGAGTGGGAGGAGTGGATGGTGTCTGTCAGCTGACAGACAGACTGACATCCACCGTCTGAACTTCAGACGGCGACGATGAATCCATCCGTCCCAACGGCCTCCGTCAACACCAGATGACGACGGTTCAACAGCGATCCCAACATCATACCTTACGTACACACCCAACGACATGACAACCCATCAACATGCCAAACCGGACCTCTCTCTCCCTCTCATCCGAACCTTCCATCCCCACGACCTGGGACCCAAGCCGGAAAGGAAACCTTCTCGAATGCCATGCCATTCCAAAACAGAGCAAAGGGGGGGGGGATGACACTTGTCCGTCCGTCCAACAAACAAGCTACTGCATGCACCAAGGGACTAGATCTCGCATGTTCTGTCCTCCTGCCGTCCAGATCTTGCATCTTTCATCTCGCCTTCGTAGCATGCCGCTCACGATCTTGCAGTCTTGCAACCGGGCCTGTCCCTGCCATGCTGCTCCGAGGTGTGTGCCACGTTCCATCAGATCTCGCATGAAGAGATAGTCAACCACCGTGCTCGGTATCTGCTGGCAGCAACATCCGCGTTGGGACGTGGAACACAAGGATGTGCCCTGTTCGCGGTGGCCGACGCCCGAGTGATGTTTTGCCTCAGGGTGAGCCGTCGTTGCAGCAGACGTCCCAAAGGGGGGAGGCTCGAGTCCAACAACGGAGAGCAGAGTGACAGAGGTGGGTGAGAGGAGACGGGACACGGAGAGGAGGGTGACAACAATGCCGGAGCTGCAGAGATCATCGACGCCTAGCGGACAATGACCTGAGGCAGAGAGGTGGCGAGACATGATCGTCTGCCCGGAAGACATCAGATGGGAGGAGGAGACACGGCTGGCGATGCAATGCCCATGCAGCTTGAGGTGCGTGTCGGATGCTTCTCGAAGGCCGTCGCCGTGGCCGAGGCATGAGGATGACTGCCACTTGGCAGGAACACACCACGCCTGAGACTCTGCAGAGTCTCTGAGTGGCTGAGAGGCTCCGAGAAGATGGAAAGCAGGGCAGACCTTGTCCTTGCGATTGGATGGGTATGCAAATATCCAAAACGCGGATCTGGTCTGGGGATGCCGTGTGTGTCCCCCTTCCCACGCGCGTGAGCCTCACCTGCCTTTACCAGCCGCCTATCCCAAACTGCGCCCAACGGCGTGTTAGGGCTGATGTTGCTGGTTGCGAGCCAGGCAGACGTGCTACCAACCCCAAGCCAGCAACACCTGTTTTGCTTTGTGGCCTAACTCTCACCTGATTTCCAAACAAAAGCCAAAGCGAAAGCGGAGAGAACCCACAGCATCCCCCTTCTCCTCCCGACAAGAACTGGGGCGGGTAGTAACCTTTTCTCGCGTGACAGAGGAGATCCCGCTCGCCTCCGACCTTCCGGACCTGGGGGTGGCGAGACTGAGTGTAAAAAACAGCGAGACCTGTCCTCCGTGCTGAGAGAGAATCCACAAATCACTCCACACGATCCTAATTTCTGCGAGAGCGGTTGGGAAGTCATAGCGGGCAGGACGTCCAACCCCCACGGCTCAGATTTGAGATCTTGAATAGGCCCTACTGGGGCCCCGGCCTTCTGTGCGATGGATGAGGCAGCCTTCTAGAAGGCCGCCAGGGTTATAGCATGGGATGGCACGCGACGACTGCAAGCCATGTCCATCATGCGCCTGGGGAAGCATTGCCACTGGCAAGGCCTGGATGATGATCCGGAGGGGCAAGGGAATGGCCCTTGAGACGATGGGTTTATTTTGGCAAATCTCTGTTCCACACTTGCGGACGACTGGCTCTGACAGGGGAACAAATGTTCAGACGATGGCGAGGGCGACGAGGGCGGTAGGGGTCACCCCAGAGTCGATGCCAATCGCCGTTTGATCTTCGAAAGGGCTCAGAGAGGTTCAGGATGACGTTATTCACATCATTGCGGGGATGCCCCTGCTTCCCGCAAAACTGGTGGCCATGGCTTTGCTGGCCCTGGCCGATGTTTTGGGCGCTGCGGGTGGGGGGTCGGAGGGCTGCAGGGGGCCTCTGCCGGTGCACCCAAAACACAGACTGTGTCAGTCGAGGCGGCACAACACCAAACACCTCTGCCTTTGCGCTGTGTGTCGTCGCCGCTCGAACGGTTTTCCGTCCTCCGGGCCGCTTGATGGAGCAAGAGAGGTTGGCTTCATGCTTGAGGAAGCTGCAGAGCGCCGTGCGACGCGGCGACAAAGCTGGGGGGGGAAGCGCTTTCCTGCGGCAGAGGATGTGTTTCTGCAGCGAAGGGCTTCATCAGGTCGCCCACTCTGACGATGTGAGCAGTGGGCGCTAGCGTCTATAGTCTCCCACCATCTCTGCGTCGGCCTGTGCGGACTTGCGCCAAAGACAAGATCGATCGACTCGGAGGTTATTCCCCACGAGATGCTGGCGCACAGTTAACGTTGGGCGTTAGTGGCGTGGCGGCCCTGCGCTGCTCACCGGGGTCCCAACTATCTCGGATATCGCCGTCGAATGTCGTTGCACGTCTGGCCCTGCAAAAGGCGTGGAGGAAAAGTTCCATTGCTTTTTGCCCTTCGGCCCCGGACGGTGATCAAGAACCACGAGAAATAGACAGCTGGTTTTTGGGGTTCCCGCGCAGTTCTTGCCCCCCATTTTGCTTTAGGGAACCGCCCACGGAATGCCACCACAATCCTAGCCTTCCCCGCAAAACCCCCCTGTGCGCTGGGGGCATAAGCTTTGGCCCTGATTAGACAAGTGCCGCTGGGGCGCGCCGAAACAGAACGCTGGGCGGGGGTGACTGCCGCATTGAGGGTGCGTCCTCCGAGGATTGGCACCTCGACACGAGGGCACAGGGGCCCAATGGCGCACACCTGCTCCGGGGCAAAGTATTGCCGACCACTTCCTCCTCATTGGTCACCGTTGGATGCCACAGGGGTCTACGCGGCTCGCACTGAAGTGTGTGTGAGTCTCAGTCGTCCCCAACGCCGAACCACAGCCTCCCCAGGTTT